ACTGCACCTGGCCATACGTTTCCCAAATCTTAAACTATATTCTAATTTTATATAGTTTTATTGTCACACCAAAATTATAGATTCTTAATACCTTGCTTTCTGTTCACTGCTTCATCTCTGGAAGCAGGCTGGAAAATGTGAGCATTATAAAGCACTGTATGTGTATGCTTTAAAGAGTCAAATTCAGTCAGAAAGGGCTAATGAATTGAGACTATCTCAGTGGATTTTGTGTGCTGGTTGATTTCTTAAAACATAGCTGGAACTTAGGAAATATCAGTGAGAGAAATTGAGAGTACATTGCCACAGATTTTGCAAAGGGTTTTAGATAATTCCCCTTTCGAGACAAGCTATACTATAAGTGAAAATGAAGATGCCCTTTTCTGCTAAGGTATGTTACGAAATTTATGGATTCTTTAAAAAAAGAATCTTCCTTAAAACTGACTCACTCTACCTTTATTCTTCTTTCTTTCCTTCTTTCCTTCCTTCCTTCCTTTTCTTTCTGGTCTGTAATCCAATACAACTTTATTTATTTTGTTGCCAAGCAGGAAAAAAAAATGACTCATTCTATAAAAACTATCTTCCTTTAACACAGTAGTTCTTAGGAAATTACTGAACATCACCATCTCAACATCATCCTCCCCCTCAGTCTCACTACAGTTTGACTTTTACCCACTCTCTTGCCCTCAGCCATCAGGAAACTGCTTTGATTAAGGTCTGACAATCTAATTGTAAGTGGCACATTTTTTTGGTCTTTGTCCTACTCCACTTGTTCATGGCACTTGAAACTTAACCATTTTCTACTTCTAGATAATTCTTTCCCCTTTCAAGATTCCTTTACTGATCTCTTCCTTTTGTTTTCACCATTACTTCTCAGTAATTTTTGCTCATTTCCCTTCCTCTGCTTGCCTATTAAATATTTGGATTCCTCAGAGTTCATTTACTGGTTGTCTCATTGTATTCCCAAGGTAGTCTGAGTCCCTTGTAAGATTTTCACTACTATTAATATGACGAGGATACACAGATAAACATTTTTAGCCAGGCTTTTTTCCTAGGCCTGAAACATATAAGGATCTGATCTGATTTTACTACCGCACATCTTTTTTAAAAAATCTCAAGGCCCCAGTAGAAAATGTTTTCTTTCCTCTAAGTACAAATACAATTCCAGTGAAATTACAATTGAATTTTTCATGGAATTAGACAAGCTGATTCTGAAGTTTATGTGGAAGAACAAAGGATCAAAAAGTAACCAAGACATCTGTTGAAGAAATAAAATTAAATGGGGATACTAGCCCTAGAAAATATAGAAACTTACTAAAAGGCTCTGGTGTGTTATTGGCTCAGGGTTAAATAAAGTAGACTAATCGAATAGACTATGGTGCTCAGAAACAGTGTAACTTTTTAAGGAAAGGATGAACTGTTCAGGAAATGCTGCTGGGTTCATTGGTTATTCATGTGGAGAAACTATATGCAAACAATTACTTTTTCATACATTGTTGTCCTTCGTGTGTGCCATACACATATTTCCTGTGTGTCAAAAGGGTTGGAAAGTACTGTGTTAAGAGGCCAGGCAAGATTATGTTTGTATGGTTACTTTAACAAACTAAGTTAGATAGGCTGGGATACTTGGACAAGTGTTTGTCACTGTTGATAAAAGGGTAAGAGAGCAAAGGAATTGTAATATATGTGATTTTGATACGCTTTATACTATAAATTTTTTTTTTCACTGCTATATTTCTTTTTAAAGGTTTGCTCTGTGATTTGCTATGGTCTGACCCAGATAAGGATGTGCAAGGATGGGGAGAAAATGATCGTGGGGTTTCCTTCACTTTTGGAGCTGATGTAGTCAGTAAATTTCTGAATCGTCATGATTTAGACTTGATTTGTCGAGCTCATCAGGTATGAAATAAAAAATAAAGACTCTTGGATATTTTAATGTTTGTTAGCTTCACGTAAGTCCTCTCATTTTGTTTTTGAGGAAACCGAGATCCAAGAAAACTAAATGACTTGTGCAAGGAAAGCAGCAGGAGAGGCAAAGCCAGTATCTGGATCTCACAGTTAACAATTTGTTAACCTTTTCTCACCCTATAAGAGGAAATGTTTCAAAAGAATATATTTTGTAGTACACTGCAATCCTAACAAATTTTCAGTAGTTTTCTGAAGCTTTCTAGACACGGTCTAGAGTTTTATATATTATTTATATATTACGGATAACAATCAAATGAATTGTGTGGCTATTGTTTGGATTTTGTTAAGAACAAACCACACTGTAAAGACATTTTTGAGACAGTCGAGGAATTTGATTATAAACTGAATAATAGATACCAGAGTGTCATTGTTAATTATTTCAGGTATGTTAAAATCATTATTTTATGTAAGAAAAATGTCCATGTTTTTTCAGAAATGTATACTCAAGTATGTAGAGGTAAAATGACATGTCTGGGATTTGCTGTAAAATATGTCAGCAGAGAAAAGGGGGGGAGATAAGTAGAATCAAATGTAGCAAACTCCTGATAATTATTGAATCAGGATGATGAGTAAATTGGAGTTTATTGAACTCCTCTTTAACTACTTTTGTGTGTATTTGAAATTTTTC